AAATATCCTCTTCCTCGTCTGCCAATAGTTTTAGACCACTTCTTAATCTTTGTTTTGATTTTTTTTGAGTTTCTGAGCAATTCTATAACTAGCCGTGCCACCGACTTGAGTGTTTTTCCAAGTGTCATTCACTAGTACTTTGAAACTATCCAATGTGATCCACTTGTTATCCAGGCGGAAGGGAATGGGCCCCCATTGGATTCTATCCGGGACCAACATGATGGGAAAATGGTCTGAAGTGAGTCTCGACAGGAGTTTTTGGTAAATATTTGGAAGTGAAATCATCAGATCAGAGGTGATAAGGAACCTGTCAATCCTTGAGAAAGAAGGTTGATCACGCATATTACTCCATGTCCATTTCCCGCCATTAAGTGGGAGGTAAGTTAAGTTAAGATTATTGATGAGGGAATGAAAGTCCTCAATGCTAGAATCATCGTAGCTTCTGCCTGATCTTTTAGATCTTTTTAAAACCATATTAAAGTCTCCACCAATGATACCTTTATTACCCCAAGAACTTTTGATCATCTCGAGTTCAGTTGCTAACAATATGCGCTCTGTGTTGTAGCCTCTACAATAAACACCAGAGAAGTACCAAGTCTCGCTGTTAGATAAATTTGAGAATAAACAAGAGAGGGTGATCTCACTGGTAATAACATTTTGGCATTGAAACCGGTCTTTTCTCCACATGATAATGATGCCATTAGCTGATTCTTTGGCTGGTAAAAAATGCCAGCCAATATCATTGGGACTCCAAATGCTTCTAATGAATTTATTGCTCACTGAGCTCTTTTTTGTTTCCTGCAGACAGATTATGGATGGTTTCCACTTGTTGAGACATCCTCTAACAGTTGTTCTCTTCTTTGAGTCATTTAAGCCCCTTACATTCCATGAAAGTATTTTGTCAAACATCATTGAGAAATTGAAATACTGCCATTTTCCCTGTTCTTTTTGTTGCATCAATCATAGTTAATGGAGGTTTGTAGACGTCTCAATTCACGTGAACTCCCATCTTTCTGTTTCTTTCGGCCCTTTTCAAGGAGCATAATGCTTTTGTTCTCCTCATTCCTATTAACTTCCATATCTGCAAGAAGAAGTTGAATTTCTTTTTCGTAACCAAAAAGAGGGGCACCGAGGAACTTACTTACACAGAAAATATTTTTGTTGATCCACTCAGAGTAGAGGTGAATGTCTCCCTCGTGGTTCCCTTTGAGTATGTGATCCAGGGAATTAATTAATTCTGCCAAATTGGTATCTTTAAGAGTTTGCAGAGGCGAGGGGTTTGATTCTGATTCTGTGTGTATTGTGACCAATTCTGTTCCATTGGTGTGGATGTGTTCCTCTTCATGATTTACTGGTAGTCGAAGAAAACAACTTGGTTCGGGAGACCAGTCATTAGAGCTGAAAACTCTGGCAGCCATGTCCCAGTGCAACTATGTTGCATTTGGCTGGTTTGAGGAAGGAGAAGTTTCTTTGTTGTCGGTGAAAATTCCTTCACTATGAGCAGCCATAACACTGTGTGCTAGGGTCTGAGTCTTGGAATTTGTATTAGTGTTCTGCGCAACTGAAGGTAAAACTCTTTTCTTTCTCCATTCCCTCTTTACTTTCTTAATTTTTTTACTGGCTTAAGAGGGTTCTGATTGGGCTTGCTTGGGCCAGCTTGATTAGTCCATTTTCCTTTCTCTGCCCAGAAAAATTTGGGCTTTTTGTGGTTGTCTTTTGGTGCCCGAAATCCAGTTAAAAAGGTCCCATTTGATTTTGTTGACTTAATCTTATAATTTTGTCTCAGGCAGCTTTTGGTGTTGGCAGAGTTTGTCCTTTTGTCAGATGCAATTTGAATTTCCAGCCTTTTTGGTTTCCTCTTCGGGTTGGGTGGGGTTTCTTGCGTTCGGGTACAAGCCGAGTCGTTGCACTGAAGTATGGTTGCGTAAGTTTTCTTCTCCGGCGAAACCAACAGGACTTGGATTTGTGTTTTGCAGGTAGGGCAACAAACGGGACTCGAAAACATTGCATTGTTTACCATGGGTGTCGGGCTTGCTATCTTTTTCTGAAGTTTAAAGGGGTTTACCAAAGGAATTTCAGACAGCTTGGAACTTGCTTTCATAAAACGTCACCAACCTCCAGCCTCATAGCCGTCCGGAATGAAGATTCTCCTTGTTGACTTTTCTCTTTCGTGAGAGGACCAGAGCCCGGCCTCTTCTATTCCGGATCATCACTAGAAAGAGATATCGTTGGTCACCTTTAAACTTTTTTACCTCAGGACTTCCCACCCCTGTTCCAGTTGAAGTCGTTGAGTGATTCGGTAATCCATCTCACTTCGTTTCTATTGAGGCTTATTGACACCCTGTTTCTGTGGCCGTTTTCACTTATTTGAAGTCCATCGAGTTTTCTTCCTTTGTAGACGACGTTGTAAGACTTATTTTCAATGAGAATGAACCGCTTCGAGTTGGAGAGAAACATTGTTCAATGAAAACAGAAATCAAGTCAGTCCTACGGCCGACCCGTTTAGGGAAAATTGTACTAGTGTTTGGTTTAAGAATTTGGTTGTTAGGAAAAGAAGGGTTGAAGAAATGGGAGAATCAAAGAGAAGGCCGGTTGATTGGGAGAGTTTTAGAGAGAGTTTTTTAGAGAGAAGATAGACGAAAACTTCACTAATTAAAAATTAAAAACATTATAATTTTATTATTTTTAAACTTGAATTAATACATTTGTGAATTAATGACCTAGTGTAAACCATGTGGATAATAAGAAAAACAATCTCCTAAATTAATTGTAAAATTACATAGAAAAATAAATATACAATAGAATAAAAAATTTGCAATAATTAAAAGGATTGTTTTCTAAAATAGGATAGATTTGACCTCTATTTTTAAATGGAGAAGATCTTAATGAATGGTGGAAGATTTAAGGGGAATAAAAAGATAATTAGGGCTGGCCAATAAAGAGGAATTATGGTCATCCATAAGTTTCCTAAACTGTGAGATTTGCCCTCTTAATTGTGTTTTCGTCTTCTTCCCATATTAATTGCGGCTTAGGAGTAATTTTTCCTCCTTTGCCAATTCTCCCCTTTAAGGGGAATATTTTCCGCGGGAATAGGAAAGGAAATCCCATGGGGAATCTCCTTCTTTCCATCTTGGACAATTTCTCCCTTATGAAGAAATTCTTTTCCCTTTCCTTGCTTAATCATTTGGGCTTGGGATGAGATTTGTAAAAATTAGAAAATTGTAAAACTTATTCATTTAACTATATTTTGGGTGGTGTAGAAAGAGAGAAACAGTAGAGCATTGAAGGGTGTTTGGGGGATATGGTAAGAATTAGAAATAGTTGGACACATGTTTTTGGATCTTTAATTCTAGGTTATGATATATATGGGTGGGAGGATTTTAGGAAAGTCATTGACGTTCTAACTGAGATGTAAATATTTTGTATATGGGTGAGACCCTTTTGGTGCTGTATACTTAATACGCATTCTTTTTTATCTCAAAAAAAAATCCACAAGTCGTTTTTTGCCAACACCCCATAATAAAATAGAGTCATAGGTAAAAACAATGACTGCCTGGGCTCCTGAAAGCATCTGAGTCTTTCTATTTCAGAAAAAATGTACTTAAGTTATTTGGGGTGATACTTCTCTTGTAGCTACACTATAAATCAGTTACCTTCTAGAGTCTCTGAGTTTTGAAAGTCCAATAGACATTCTTTCCATATATTATCCTAATCTACACATGACAAGTCATTTTATCCCCAGAATATCTGGGTGTGTATTATTTGTCCGTATTCTTAGTATAACTCCAGGGAAATTAAATCTGATGGAATTAAAATTTGTCTTTGTGGGTTACTCTTCAACTTAAAAAGGATATAAGTGTTATTGTCGTCTCTAAAAAAGGTTCTACATCTCGGTGGACGTTACTTTCCATGAGCACTTGTCTTATTTCATCACTCCTTATCTTCAAGGGGAGAATTCAATAATGGAAGATAAGGATTTTTTACATGACTTGCCAATATTATCAACATCGGGAGTCCTTTGTTCATCTATGTCGAATTAAGAAAGTGAAAATGCTACGTCTGAAAATTCTAGATATGAAAATCTTGTAGCTGAGAATTAACAGCCCTGCCATTGAGAATATAAGATTTGGAAAAAGCAAAGTGTTTTGAAGGTAGAAGGTGAGCATCCCAGAATCGGTGCAAGTCCCAGACTCCAACCTGGATCCTAAGAATGAGATAACAATTTATAATTCTTCATTTCAAAGTGAAACTGAATCTCATGTCAGCAATAATGAACAGGACCTTTTGTTGCTGTTCGGAGAGGGACTGGAGTGTCTACAAGATGACCCCAATACCGCCTTTCACATTTTTTGTCATTTCAAAAACTTTTACCATCTAATGGGGCTTTCCTTATTAGCTTGAACACCATTGTCATTCTCACTACCTTATTTGAAGCTTTGTCCAATGAGAAATGGAAACAAACTATGAATGTGGAGATGGAGGCATTGGAAGAAAACAAAACTCAGGAGTTGGTGAAGTTACCAGCAAGAAAGAAACCGGCAGAATGTAAATGAAAGTGAAGTACAAAGCCGATGGATCAATAGAAGGATACAAAGCATGGCTGGTGCCCAAAGGTATACTCAAACCCAGAGAAAGATATAAGGCACGGCTGGTGGTCCCATATGTTAAAGATTTGTTTTCTATGTACATTTTTCTTATTAAGATCGCTTATTAACACACTTCTTAAAAGTAGATTAGATCATAAAACAACTGGCCTAGAGGAAAGAAAGTTTTCCATATCTAAGAAAAAAGAAACTGCAACATATAAGAACGATAAACTGTCTACCCAAATACGAAATTAAGTATAGACCAGCCCCCGAAGAGGGATACATATGGCTGCCTATGTTTTCATTAATTTGATTATTGCTTGTTCCTAAAACAGAGATTTAACTGTTATTTGACGAGATGGGTAAATATCTTGGGACCTAACTCAGATTGTTAAATACTTTTCTCTCTTGCAGGTGAAAACAGCTGATACTGGCTACATGTCTCGCAGACTGATCAAAGGCTTGGAGGACCTTTCTGTTCATTATGACTACACTGTACGCAATGCAAGTGGATGCATAGTTCAATTTGTTTATGGAGATGATGGCATGGACCCGGCATCTATGGAAGCAAAGAGTGGAGTTCCTCTGAATTTTGACAGGTTGTTCTTGAAAATACAGGTCTGACACCCTTATCCTCTTGTTTTCTTGTAATTTCATTGCCTGCATGTGGTGGAACCAATCTCATACTTGTTTGGTTTCTGTTTAAAGGCTACTTGCCCTGCTGGGGAAAATGATAGCTATTTATCTCCAGGAGAAATCTCTGGAAAGTTAGAAGAAGAATTAGTGAAACAAAGTGTAGCTCATGGAGGAGATTGCTCTGAAGCCTTCAAGAGATCTCTAAGAGACTTTTTTGGTGTTCTTGGGGGCAGATTAAAGAGAACAATGGAATTGGTTGAAGAATATGCTGCTGGGGGAAAATGCAAGGATCTAGAAAAAGTTGCCCACAAAGTATCTGGCATCACCAATAAGCTGCTGGAGGTAATAAAGTATACAACTTCACTTATATTTCTTGCTTGATTCCTGTTTATAGTCTTGTATGTCCAAGACTATTGCTTGAATTTAGACAATCAAATAGGATGCATGTGCTTAGCATTATTCTTTTTTTTATAATCATGTTTGCATTACTGTTGGTGACTTTGACTCATCATTTTTTGCTTCCATTTTAACGCATATAGTATCTGCCTCGGCATATGAACAAAAATTGTACATCAACTTTCTTTTGCAGTTGTCACGCTAGTTATTTGCTTAAAGTAATGAGAATTATGCTTTTTTAGAGTTTTTATATTTCTCTTCATTTTCTAATCACATTAAGCCAAGGTTATGAATAGGGAAAAGAATTTCAGAATGAATGAGAGAGAAGCTGAACCAAGGATCCAGTGGGTGGTGTAGCTTTGGTTGCTAGTCTCTGCTTGTGGTGGCCAAATTTGAGAATCAAGAAAGATACTATAGCACAGAGGTTGTTGGCCTGTAAGAAGTATAAAAACAAGAATGGTTTCTTACTATGCAACCAAAACCCCTAGCTTTTCTTGGATAGACATTTAATCTGCTATTGATGGTTA